TAAAATACAAACTCCCAGGCTTTTAAAGATTGAGATTCAGGACATCTGTGGGAACCTGGGGTGAGGTGGGAGGGATTAGCCTGGAACCTGTGACTTGAACAAATGCCTTAAGAATGGGCGAGTTTGGGGGCGCCTGGGTGGCTCAGTCCATTAAACCTCTGCCTCAGGCTCAGGTCATGATCCCAGGGTCCCTGCTTGGCGGTGTGTGTTGGGGGGTCCTGCTTCTCCCTCTCCCTTTGCCCCTCCCCTGCTCATGCTCTTTCTCTGCCTCAAATAAATAAATAAATAAATAAAATCTTTATTAAAAAATGAGCAAGTTTGGGGAACCCTGATATAGCCAATGTAAACTTTTACCAAGAAGAGCTGCTTGGTGGTTACAAAGTCAGAGACAGTGTGTCTTCTGTTTAGTAATTCCTACTGTATAGGGTTTATCTAGGGTTTAATAATTCCTAATCGATCGATAACCAGTAAATCACTGCAGCAACATTTTTGTCTAGTGGCTTTATAATGAAGCACACTGAACTTGCCAAGGGCAGAGCAAAATAGTTTTTGCATAAATTAGAAAACCAGAAAGAGTTGAGCCCAAGGCATTAAACATGGGTGTGTGTGTGTGTATGTGTGTGCGCACGCGCGCGTGTGTAAGGAACTTCGACAAAATTTTTTGACAAACCAATATTCTCATCTGCAAAATTGGGATAATAATGCCAACTTCATAGGTTTTCTATGAGGATTTAAGGGAAGGGCATTCGTAAAGCCCTAGCACAGAGTAAGCATTTAATGAAAGCTTATTATTGCTACTGTCAGTTGTATGCTAGGATTTCAATCTTTGTCATCAAATGATAGTATGACTACAAGTTTGCTTTAAATCTTCATATGAATGTTACATCCTCAAACAACTCAGTTCTGGTGCCATCCCATGGTTTTACCCAGATGAAATTTTTCTAGAATGTCTAAAACTGTTTTATTATTTCATAATTCTCAGAGCTACAAACTCTGCAGATGTCTTATCTGTGCACTTGAAGAAAATGAGTCAGTTCTAACATTCACACATCTAGAGACACAAAAATCTAGATTTCAAGGTTTTCTAGGAAAAATGAGACGTTTCAGTATTCAGGACCCTGTTCTCCTGTTGGAGGAGCCTGTTCGAATTTGAGGTAGGGGCTGTCCCTTTTGAATGGGGCACACATGCTCCTGCCTGTCTCCTAATTTATGTGACTCACCTGGCCTTTGTAGGCAGCTGAGCTTTTTTTATTTTCCCAAAGATTTTATTTATTTATTTGACAGAGATACAGCAAGAGAGGGAACACAAACAGGGAGAGAGGGAGAGGGAGAAGGAGACTTCCCATCAAGCAGGGAGCCCGATGTGGGACTCCATCCCAGGACCCTGAGATCATGACCTGAGCTGAAGGCAGACGCTTCATGCCTGAGTCACCCAGGCGCCCGAGGCAGCTGAGTCTTCACCCCCACACCCAGGTTGATGTCTTACTTCTCATCCATCTGTGGATTATCAGTTCTTTGCCTGGTTAGTAGGTCCTGAATGGATGAGTGGGAAAAACAGCAACTGAACTGCCCCTCACACCAACAGACTGTTTCGGCCGGTCCAGCTTGCGGACCCCCAGCTAAATATCCACAGAGCCCAGTCCCCAGGATTCCCCAAGGGCTCCTGAACACAGTCCCTCCCCCAGCCTGGCCTCCAGGATCAACCCCACTTCCCGCCCAATTCCACCTTCCTTTTCCAGCCACATTTCTTCCCCAGCTAACCCAGCAGCTTCCCTCACCATTCTCTGAACATGCCTTATGCCTCCACAGCTCGGGGCCTCTGCCCTCCTCTACACCCCTTCTTTGCAAAAGCCTCCCCAGCTTCCAAGTGCCACGTTGGTAGTCGTTGTTTTGTAAATATGAAGTGACACCACGCCTCGTCGTGAGCTAAGTGTATGTCCTAATTCTGCTGTTCGACGCGCAGACATCTGCCACCCTCCAGGACCCCATGGCAGAAACCATGTCACAGTCATCCTAGCATCACCAGCATGGAGCCCCCAACGTGCTGTGAGGGAGGCTCGCAACATCTAAATACAGGAACGCATTTCCATTTTAAGAAGAAAATGCTAATTAATCATCTACTTTCTTCCTCGTCCTACCACAACACAAAAGCTTATCTTCTCTCAACTGCTTTGTTTCGGCCCTCCTTATAAATCTTAACTGGACATTGACCTTTTCGTATCATTTACTTGATGTCTGAGAGCATTAATTTCTTTAATGAGAAATGGGGATGATATAGCCTCCAGTGTGGTCCTAAGGATTCAATGAGTTAAATGCAGAAAAAGTGCTTCGCGCAGGGCCTGGCATCTAGCGCACACTGAGGGCATGTGATTCTTACTCTGTAGAAACTCACCTAATATTTAACAGCCAGTTTGGAAGTAGCTCACTTCATTCCATTTTTCTAGAATACTTCTTAGAAAAGAGCAGGTCAGAGAATAGAGTCCGTGTGTTTGACTAAAGAAATGTATTTTGGTCAACAAAAATTAAAATGTTATTTAAAATACCAGTGGATCAGGAAATAGTAGCTTTTTTTTTTTTTTTTTAAAGTTCACTTTTGTAACCAGCAAGATAACGATTGATTTGGGAAACGTTGACCAATGGGTGTTGAACAGGGTATTTACAGTCTCACAATTTCATCCCATTGATTACTTATTAATCCCAAAGGGAGAAAGCTACTTTCACATTGGAGAAATTTGGTGAATGTCACTTCAACAAATGATCAAAATTATCACCACAAAAGAAAAACCATAACCCACATGCATTAAGATTTATAAAAGCCAGAAATAAAAATAAAAACAAGAACTAGAAATTTTAAAAAATTATTGTCATTATGGGCCAAACGGATCCTTGTGAAGTGATATAATAAGGACGTAACATCACCTATAGAGTATTCTTTCAAGAAAAAAAATTAACCTGATGCTACCAGTGAGAGACCAGACAAATCCAGAGACAGTAATAAACAGAGCACATAGGCCTTGATCATAGGCTCTTAGTGGGCTGACGAGTGAAGTTTGAACACGCACTGCATATTGGATTATAAAAATAGGGCAAAATACCATTGTGACTCAATTATATTTTGAATGATCTGGGGTGCCTGGGTGGCTCAGTTGGTTAAGCCTCTGCCTTCCGCTCAGGTCATGATTTCAGGGTCCTGGGATCGAGCCCAGCATCAGGCTCTCTGCTCAGCCAGGAGTCTACTTCCCCCTCTCCCTCTGCCTGTCTCTCTGCCTACTTGTGATCTCTCTCTGTGCCAAATAAATAAAGTCTTTAAAAAATTTGTATTTTGAATGACCAGCTCTTTCCTGAAGATTCTGGGAATCTATGCCAGAAGACCTCACAGTGTGAAAAATTACATGCGGTATGTTTGCTGCATTTGATTGGATTGGAGGTTTTATACAAAGAATGGGCAACGAGTTGTAGTTGTATAAACGGGCATAGAAACTTGAAAAAAAGAGTGGATACTGATAATGCAGTGTGTGTGTGGGGGGACAATGCCAACTGCCCAGAGACTGCTGAGTAAATGTTAGGATGACAACTGCCTAAAGTCCCCAAGCAGGCTTTCTTTATCTCAAGCTTCTAGAAACTTTTGCCTCGTGAGAACGGATTACTAGGAAAGTCGGAGCGCAATTTCATTGTCCTCTCAGTCCAGCAGGGATGAGCAGGAAGCCGGTGGGAGCAGATCTGGCTGTCTCGTCTGAGACTATGCTGTATTAGGCTCAACATGGAAATCAAACAACCATGGGTAAGACTGGCTGGCAGTCATTAGAGTCGTTCTGTGTTTGGGCCTCTGTGTTTCAGGGGGTGATAGGAGCCATTAACGGCTTCCTTTTAGTTTCAGAAGCCAGAGATATTTTCATTACTAGTGTCCTCAGGCATAGTCTTTTTAATTAAAAAAAAGAAAGTAAGTTCAGGATGGAAATCATCTATCACTACACGAATGTCTCTGCAGCAGAAACACATTACAGTTTACCTGTCAATCTTACCATCATGTTGGGTTTATTATGAGTGTCTGGAATGAGGAAGAGGAAGTAGGGAAGGGAAGTGATGGCAGGGTTCAGAGAGGAACCCCTGGAATCACTAATACCTCAGAAAAGATGAGGGCTTAATTCCAACGTGGTACTGAGACTTCAAGTTTCTTACCTCTGGGGCTAGTTAGAAAGCGACCATTCTGGCTCTTAGATTTTCTCTACTTCTTCCAAAGCCATAATGCCCTACTTTTGGGGTTTTTTGGACAGGTGTCATGGTAGATTCAAGTTGTCTACAAATTCTTTGTCACTCTCCCCAGCAGGAGGGAGATTTTATTTCCCCTCCCTTTGAGTCTGAGCTGGCTCTGTTTCTACTGAACCAACAGACTGCCCCAGAAGTCCGCTACCAGTTCCCCACCTGGCCCTTCATAGCATGGCAGCTTCCACTTCCTACCTCTTATAACACTTGTGACAGGGACACTCTCCCTTACAACACAGCTCCGGAGCTGGGACAGGGCTGAGCCACACAGAGAAGCTTGAAGCCAGCACGGACTGGCAGCCCATGGGAAAGCCATGTAGGACATCACAGCCCAACCTCACCACAGAAGCAGGCTAGCAAAGTCCAGGCCACTCAGAAGATACCACAGAATCAGGAGAGAGAATAAAATGGCGTCTGAAGCTGCTAAGTTTTGGCGTGCTTTGCCAGGCAGCAAGAGATAACTACAATTTATAAACAAAACGTTCACGAGGAGGAAGATTATCTTGCTAAACAGCACAAAGTAGCAAAGCACGTGTTGGGACACGTGCTGAGCAGGAACGGAACCATGATCACATCGTTGTCCTTCAGCAGATTTGACCTCAACACTGGCGTCAGCTTTGAGGGCCTCTTTCTGATGTTCAACACAGAAGATTTAGAAAAAGAAAAAAAAAAAAATCTCATTTTAATACAGCCTCATCCCCACACGGGTGTTTCCACACAGACCTTATTTTTTAAACAGAGTTTATTGTATTTAATACATTATAAAATTTGAAAAATTGTAGGAAAGCAGCAGACTCAAACTGGAGCAACTCTAACAAGTAATAATTCTGGCCCCTTTGCAAAACTGATCAGTTTAAAAACAAAGTAATGTTCACATCTGTGAAGGCGGACAAAAAAGTGTGACTTCTGTACAAACTACATTTAAAATTTCATGTCTAATGTCTTTCAGATGCAGTGTGCTCATGAGAGTTTTCTGAAGTCCTGCCTGGTGCCGCCTAAAAGAGAGGACACGAAACCTCCATATGCAAATAAACTCGATTCAAGGTGTTTTGTTTTTTTTTTTGTTTTTTTAAAAAAAAAAAAAAAAAGGAAAAAGAACGACAGAGGAAAAGGAAACAACGGATGGCTGTTGGCAATGGAAACCATAAGGAGATGCGTCCTCACTGCTCATGGCTTCTATATTGGTCGGGGGGGCCTCGGGAGGCCCGGGACACCTCACGGCCATCACAGCACCAACTGTAGCTACCACCTTTTAAAACTTTTTTTTTCCTTTTTTTGCATTTCCTACCTTTTGACATATATATATATATTTATATTTTTTTTTACACCTTGAGGATATCACTATTCCAATTGTTCCCATATGAATACAGGTGTGGTCTCTATTGGATATAAATGTGTCTTTTTATTCAATTTTAGGTCCAGGACTTGGTTTGCTGTCCCAACTGCACATAAATGTCCCTTTTTGTTTGTTTGTTTGTTTGAGTTATTTGTTGTGTACGGTTTTCTTTTTTTCCTCTTTGCATAAGAAATCTGTCCATTTAGTCCAGAGGCTCCTGCTTTATCCGGATGACAGAGGGTACGCGAGGCGTCCGCCTCAGCTCCCGTCGCAGGACATACTCGCTGAACTGAGACGAGTCCACTCCTCCTCCACAGGAGCCCACGATTTCAAATCCTCTCTGCTGCAACCTCTCGAGGACCTGCACGGGAACAAGACAAGCATCCGGTTAGCGGGGAGATGGGCACTCTGGCCACACACACAGCCCAAAGAAGTGTCCTGAAGTTTGAGCCCCTGTGCAGCCCGGGTCACTCTTACCCAACCCCCGGGTCTCTCGAGTTGCTGCTTTCCGTGGAAGACCCTGGACGGAAGGGCAGGAGGGAGGGAGCATCGTTTCTAAGACCTCAGATGTACCCTTCTGTGCCTGCTGCCCACGGGCCAGTTCATTTAATGGTTACAACCACCCGGCAGCACGGTTGGTCAGCCCATTTCATACATGGGAAAACTGAGGCTCCCAGCATGTAAGTGATGGGACTGGGTTTCCAACTCAGGTCTGTTTGGCCTCAGATGCCACATTTCTTGCAACGTGCAACACTACCTTCTCGGCAAAAAGAGAGGGCTCGCATTTCAAATCTCATTTATCACTAAAATATCGTCCAGGAGATGATAGATGATATGGCCAGATGCTGATTTTATCTGAATTTACTCAGCCCGTGATTCACTCTCAACTCATTCACCCTCAGCTCGGCCACTGTGGACGGCTGCCAGTACGAACTTAATATATTCCAGCTTAGAAGACGGATATCATTTCAATAGCAGAACAAATGGGACTACTGAAGACAGCTGAGGTTTATCTACAGGTTTTCAAGTTTATGGCATCTGAAATAGATTTACTGCCCTGTGTGCATTCAGGGAGGCAATGCAACAGTTGTATACTGGAAGACATATCCAAAATAAAGATATTCTAAACTTCTCATATAATCACTTCTCAGATAATAATCACTTTTAATAATCTCTTTAATTTTGAAATCAAATACTGAACACCAGAAAGATCCCTGGGTTGGTCACCTACATGTGTGACGGCCTTAAATGCAGAAACAACTCCTACATTCTCAGGCGAAAACACAGAAAATTAATATAGAGCATTGTTTCCCTAGAAATCTAACAGATGCTGGACGTGCAAATGTTCCCTGGGCTTCTGGTTATGATTAAATTCCTTCTCCACCACTCTAAAGGGAAGACAACTCGATCACAGCTTTAAAAGAAAAGTCTGGCTCAAAACTTTACATGGGGAATGAAGTGAAATGTTATTAAATAACTTTCAAAATTTACTCAATGTAAGGTGAACCCTTCCTATTTCTCTTAAATTATTATTTTTGGTCCCCTTCTTCTATGTGGAATATAATTTGTGAGTTTGCCAAATGGCTAACTAGAGATTGGAAAAGAATACAGTATGCTTTCTAAAAACTCAAACTTTGCGTGTTGGCAAATTTAAAAAAAAAAAAAAATCCTTAAGAGAACAAAATGAAAATTCTACCCTAAGGACAGCTCCATTTCTGTAGCTATATTCACCATGCAGACGCACACCAGTCCACAAAGGGACAGGACGAAGAAAGTTCCTAAGTTCAAAACCAAGAAGTGCTTTGGTGGCAAGTCAATAAAAAGGTGAAGATCCAAGAGCCCACTCCAAGATGTCCTTAGCAGAGGCAGGGACGTACCCTGTCAGCAAAGCTTGGCCAAACCACCGCATTGGAAAGGACTCTTTGCCTTCACTGGGAGAGGAATTATAAAGGTAGAAGAAGCTGTGAACAATGGCACATGTAACTCGTACTATTTGTTCTGCAGTACTGTTAGGCTGCTAAACTGTTAAATACGGAAATCCCGAAGGCCTCTCCCCAGTTGATATGATCATCATTCCACAGGCCCAGTGTTATGCTGGATGTGGTCAAAGCTTATTTCAATGTCATCCAAACAAGCTATGCTCCCTGGCCATTTCTTTTTAAACATCAATTTGTTAAAAGCAAAATCCCTTAAAATTAGTGATCACTTGGCAATATTAAATCACTCCAGGGGTGGGTTGGAGTGTCAGGTCTTGTGCATCTTAGCCTTAAACTCCTGGATGCCTAGAGCACAGTGCCTGTTTTCTTGATCCGCGGAGCAGGAAGCTAGAGTCATCAATTGTGTCATGGTCATGTCATGGCTGTGTCACTGACGATGCTAATCCAGATGAAAATGTCCTCATCTGATTAGACTTGAATAACTGGGACACTTGTCAGGCATATGAATTTATTCCATGGCCTGAGCGGTGGGGCTGGGCTTTCATCTGAGGGATGGAACCCTGGGGAAGCAATGCCATCACGGCTCTGATGGGTGCTGCCCCTGCCTCCCTCTGGAGGGAAGCTGGGGCAGGTTGTGTGTGTAGGAGGTGAAAGGCTTTCAGAGTTTTAGAGGCTGTGATAAATAGCAGAGGCCCCACTCAGGAACACGAAGTGGTTTGGGGTGCACCTCTGGCCTATCCAACCCAGCGGCCACCATGCTGCCAGACAGCACGAGTCTCTGGCAGGTGCTGCTGGGACATTGCTTCTGCCAGTGTCTCCTGCTCTTCTGTTCTCAGACATTGTTCACAAATTTAAAAAATACAAATAGTTGTGGAACAATCTTCAAGAGGAATGGAAGAGTGGGTGCTTCTAGTCTTTGAGCTGTGGAGAGGTTTTGTTGGGTCAATCCTGAACAAAGTCATGGGTGCATTCCAATTAGAAAGAGCAAGGGGGGAACCCCAAGCCCTTACTCCGTTGACCTCAAGTTATTTTGAGTTATAGAGACCTGGAGCCGAGGCATAAGTATGCCTCCACTTTCTCCTCAGCAAGATGGGGGATTCACAGTGCTTACCTGTTAGGGTTGTTCTAAGAAGACAAGTATGTACCACCCTTGGCCCAGAGCTGCCACACATTAGTTAAGATGAAGAACACACTTACCAGCGTCTAAGGGACAGGGCACCCCACATGTGAACCAAACTTCCGAATTCCAACCCCAAGTCTCCTTCTCCCATGGACTTCTCTGCCTCAGAAAACAGCAATTCCAGTCATCCAGTTCCCCTGTCAAAAATCTTAGCCATCCTTGGCTTCTTAGACCCCAAAGCCACTGTCAGAGCCTTGTTAGCTCTATGACACTCAAGATATTCAGAACCGGACACTTCTCCAATATTGCTAACTGGTTCCCTTGCTTCCACAGTTTTCATCTGCTGCTGGAGTATTCGTTTTCAAATCTGAGCTACATCATGCCACACCTTTGTTCAAAATCTTCAAATGGCTTTCCATTTCACTCACACAAGCAAATGATCCCAAACCAAAAGAAACCGAAACAAAAAAATCCCAGAATGCTTACCACCACCTAAGAGACAATCATCCGTGATCCGTCCCTGGCTACCTGCTAGCCTCCTGTCTCAGCACTTCCTCTCCCTGACACTTCCTTCAAGTCCCATGGGCTCTCCTGATACTGCTCAACATACCAAGCAGACTCCTACCTCAGGGTCATCACAACTTGCCATTCCCTCTGCTTGGGATATCTCATCCCAGCTGTTCTCTTCTCATCAGCTAACCAATACTTCTTTTTCTTTTTCTTCTCATTAAACTTTTGTTTTTAAGGGTCTCAACATTTCTGTTGGTTACGGTTTGCCGCCCCTCCTCGTCCTTCTCAGAATGTAAATTCTGGGAAAATAGAGCTATTGTCTCTTTCTTCCTCTTCTAGATCTCCAGTGCTCAAACCAGCACCAGGCCCATAGTACATGTTCAACAAATACCCACGGAATGATTGAATGAGTGGGTAGGGGGTGCCTACGCTTAAGTACCCAACAGAAGTGATGCCACCTGAGAGTTTCCCAGCTCCCTGGAGGGAAGGCACTGGGTGAAGGCAAGGCTAAGTGAGAGCATTAAGAACGACATTGGATGCCACACAGTGTATGACAAGACTGTACCTGGACCGAGTTGAGGTGACAGTAGCCATTCAGTGGAAACCTAATGACATGCGTTGAGTCGTGATTCCAGCCTGCATTGACGGAGTTACACATCACGTCGCCGATCTCTGGAAATACTTCTTCTATCAAGGATTTGTCACCGCTGAGTGTGATCCTTTCTCCAAGGTCTGGGGCGACACGCACCACTAAGCACTCACAGGGCCTTGAAAAGCGACCACTTTCTCTGTCCTGCTTCCACCTTTCCATCTCCAACAACATGGGCTGAAGCTGAAAATATTTTGCTTCTTCATATAACAAAGTATAGTCCTGGGGAAAAAAAAGGGGGGGGGGCGTTATTTCACAGTGCAAAATACAAACAGGAAGCACTGAAAATGTCCACAGATAAGGGGTGATTTTCTTCCACCTCTGTTTTTCCAGTAATCAAAACTGCGTGTAAGTTCTTTCCTCACCACTCATTTGTGCATGCGTTCATTCGGCGTAAGGGTATCTATTAAGCACCACGCAGGCCCTCTTCTAAATGCGCCCCATAAATTAAGTCCTGTAACCTCCACAACTGCCCCATGATTTTGCAACCATTATTATTCCCATTGTGCAAACAAGATGAGAAAGGCTGAACCCACGACTTTTCTCTTTCACCAGAAGAGAGCCTCTGGGTATTTAAAATTGGTGCGGTGAGAACCCACTCTAAGCCCTCCTGATGGAGCCAGGCACAGGCTGCGGGTGCGGATCCGGGAGACGCAGGCGCACTATCCACTGGGAGCCCACGCCCCTGTCCCTTTCCTCCGCAGCTCAGAACGCCGGGTGGGAGGCAGGGGGCGGCGCCAGCTGAGGGCGGGGCTGCAGATGTTGGCGAGTGGGCGCCAGATGGGTGGGCACGCTGCTTCTACCTAAGCCTGGGTCCCCATCTCCGACGATCTGGGAGAGGCTGACGCACCTGGCCAGCTATCCGCGCTGCCATCCTACAGTGAGGGAGGCCAACCAGCCCGTGATCCCTGCAGGACGGAGGGGCCAGAAAGGAAACCGGTCCCTTTCTGAAAGCACAATTAATCACCACTCTCTGAGCACGGTTTCTTTTTCTCTTACTTTAAAAACAAATCTACAGAATTAAACCGGCAATCTGGCAAGCAGGTATGAAAACACACAAGTCACTGAGTGGGAGGACGAGGGAGGCTGAGGGGGAGCCAGCGACATAGGAATGATGTTATCACGTGGGTCAGTATTATGTCTACACGTAGCTATGACGACAATCATCAGTGGATGTGAGGCAAGTGGACACCTGTCCAGGCACAGGCGTGTCTGCGGTCCTTCCCTGAGCCGGAGGGGGCAGGCAGTGCGGGCAGCATGTAGCGGACCCGAACTGAGAGCCCGGGGCCTAGGAGCCAGCCCGGCCTCTGCCATCTGGATGGGATGGAGTGTGGAGGCGATGACCACAGGAGAGCGGGTTTTATGTGGTGGTTCGCTCTTTTTCTTGCAAATTAAGCAGGAAAAGCAGCAGCCAGCAGTTATTTGGGGTTTCCAGAGAAAAATGTGGGGAGGTGAGAAAAATGCCAGTGGATCTCCAGCTGGACCTTCCACTTTCTGTGTTGAGACATTTGGGCCGAGGAGGATGCTGTCTGTCCCAGACCCTTCTCAGCAGAATGGACTGCTCCTGTATTCTGCCTTCTCCTGGCAACCCCATTCTTAGGGGAGTCTTGGTTCCCTGCTGGAGATCATCTTCCTTTCACACTCTGGCACCTGCTTTACCTCTGGACCCACAGGAGGTACTTTGAGGGGTGAGAACTAAGCTGAGGTGCAGCCCCTCCTAACATAGGACAGAACTGAGCGCCCGCCCCCACCAGCTTGAAGGCAGGAGTGGAGAGACTGCCGGTTCCTCCAGGGTATCTGGGACCCCTGGACGGGGGCGCTTGCCAACTAGGAAGTATACTGACTGAGACAGTGACCTCTATCTTTACTTATCAAGATGACAGCTCTCAAGGAGACTTAAAAACAGCATTGACAATTACACAAGCAACAGAAGTGAGAATTTGTTACTGGTTTTTATTTTCCTATGAGAATTAAAAATTATAGCACAAGGAAGAACCTGGACTCCAGTGAAAATATGTCATCAAGTCTTGAATCTGAGACTGTTTAGAGCAGTCTTATCGACCAACCTTGACCTTACGGAGGAATTCTTTCAAACACTGCTGAATAGTGGCCATTAGCCTCTGATTAAATGCTTCCAGTGATGGGAAGCTTACTATCTAACAGGGCATAGAATTTACTTTGTTGGCCGCTCTTATTACACTTCTGGAAATTTCTTGGTTAGAATGACCTGAATTCCCCTGTAATTCCAACTTATTCAAATTCATCAGGGGTTACAGTGATCCTGAATTTTCTTTGACATGTGAACCCTTCACACATTTGAAGACAACAGTTATGTCTTAATATCATTCAGGCTGAAAATACCCAATCTTTTCAGCTCTTTCTTATTTGTTATGACTTAGAGGTCCTCCGACATCTGGAATGTGCCTGACTTTGTCAACATACTTCTGAAAACCCAAACTGGAACTGAACCTAACATTTCAGATGTGATCTAATGAGTGCACTGTAGAACCTTTGCTTGGCTGGGCATTCTTTATTATTGTTTTTGTTGTTGTTATTTTGGCTGGACGTTTAACCAGTCTTAAAGCAGCCTACATTCATCTCCTATGGCTACTGCAACAATTACCACACACCGAGTGGCTTAAAACCACACACATTTATTCTCTTACAGTCCTGGGAGCTGGAAGCCTACAATGGGTCATTAGGGTGGTGTTTCTTCCGGAAACTCTGGAGGGGAATCCACATCCTTGCCTTTTTCAGTTGCACAGACAGCCTGCACTCCTTGGCCTGGCGTCCCGCATCACTCCCGCCTCTACTATTGTCACATCTTCTCCAACTCTGACCCACCTGCTTCCCCCTTTCACTCAGAAGGACCCTTTGAGCATGCTGGGTCCATCTGCATGATCCACGATCATCTCCCCATCTCAAGACCCTTCACTTAGTCACACCTGCAAAGTCCCTTCTGCCATGGAAGGTAACATATTCCTGGCTTCCTGGAATTACAACGCGGATGTCTTTGGGGGGGCCATCATTCTGCATACCACATGGCGTAAGGTTGTATTAATTTTCTTGGTGTCCATTACCCTATCGTTTTATGTTTTGCTTATAGTGAAGTCTCCAGAACTTTCTAGAAGAGCTGCTACTGAGTGAGGTCCTCTTGCAACATTTGTGAAAAATTTTAAATCCTCCATTAGTTACCCCTCTTCAGACTGCCTACTGTAGGTTCTGGAATTTGTTCCAACATACTGAGAAACGTCCATTCTTTCATCCAATGTTCTTCTCCCGCTCTCGTTATTTTGGTCATTCTGAACCGAGTGTTCTGTTTCTGTATGTGAATCATTTCTTAAAAGCAATGACAGGAGTGAGCTACTTGCAGGCCTTGGTTCAGGCTGATGCTCAGGTAATAAATTAAGACTCTGGACTCTGGCTATTCGAACAGTTATAAAACCTATAATTCTGAGATCAGCCAGCCCCCAGTTGTGGCATTTGCTGGGTGTCTGGTTGAAATACTATGTGTTCGGATGGGCCTCCCAGGGGAAGGCTGGACATGTGGGAGGGGCCCTAGTCTCCAAACCACCCAGAGATTCTCCTTATCTATAAAATGAGAGGAATAAATCATAGCGAAGTTGCTATCAGGCCTGATACACTGAGTCTATATCCATGACAATGTCCTGATCCACCGGTCTGTCCACCATAACCTGAAGGTAATAAGGCTGGCAGGACCTGGGGTGACAAATCCTCTATGCTCACTCTGAATCCTTACCCCTTTCTTTTTCCCTTTGAATTCAGAAGTCACATGGGCAATCCGCTCCGAGGTCTGGCCGTGGACTGACAGAGTGCTCCCTATACCATGTTGCCCATGTTCATCATTCTCTGCTCTTGGAAAATGAGGGAAACACTGGCCCTTAGTAGACTTTTGGCCCCACTCAGTGATTTCTCAAGGATTCTGCCAGTAGTTTTTAAAGTGTAGCTTAAAGAGGTCCCCTGAAGGTCATCCTGTACCCTGGGATGTAACTCATGGGCCTGGCCTTGAACCATCTCAGGCCACCAGGTGTTCCTGACCATCTCTACTTGACCATCTGGCTCCATTGCCCCCTTTACCACGTTGTTCCTTCGGGTCTCTGGGGCAGAGCCATCTGTGCTGGGCCAGTAGGTGCTAGAAAGCAGCCGAGCACGCAGGCTCTGTTTGACCATCAGCCCCACAATGTTCACTTGCCTCCAAGTGTCTCCCAGCTCAAGAACTAAAAAGGCCCTTCTTGTCGTTACCATTTTCTGCATAGTTAAGCTCACACTGGCCATTTGTTTTCTTGGCAGGCTCCTTTAGATTCATCTTTCTTTGCTTCCTAATGCACGCTTCCAGCCTCAGCTCATTGGAGAACTCCCTGCAGAGCAGGCTCGGTGTCCACTGTGGCTTTCCTTAGGAAGCTTGTCCTCCTTTCCTTCCTCAATTAGGATCAGTTAATTGTACTGTCTACGTCCCATATATTTTATTGTTTTATCAAGTTTCCTTTTGGACTCTCTGACCTCATGCTCATTTCCTTCTGCTCTCTGAATCTTTTGAAATCTTCTTTCCTTACACCTTGGTCCCTATCTGGCAACACCCTCCATTCCCTTCTTTGGCTTTTACAACCTCTAGACAACTCAGTCTTTCATCCTCAAGGTACGAGATGGGATTGAGCAGGATTTTATAGAGCAGTAGCAAGTTTGGCCCCAGATTTCCTTTCTTTTCTTTTCCTTTTTTTTTTAAGATTTTGTTTATTTATCTTAGAGAGGGAGTATGAGCAGGGGGACAAGGGCAGAGGGGGGAGGGAAAGGGAGAGAGAATTTCAAGCGGACTCTAAGTTGAGTACAGAGCCCCATGGAAGGCTCCATCTCATGACCCTGAGATCATGACCTGGGCCAAGACCAAGAGTCGGACGCTCAACCAGCTGAGCCACCCAAGAGCCCCTGAGCCCAGATTTTCTTTTGAGGGAAATGAATCCAAAGCAACCATATCTGCTTTCAGCAAAGCAACTCCAGAATGTACTAGATGCCATCATTCCTCTGCCCTGCTTGCGTGCCAATTTTATCTTCTTTCATTTAGGAAGCGTCATTCAAATTTCTTGCTTAGCCTCATAGCCAGATAAAGGAAAACCTATAATCATGTTTAAATAACTTTAAAATCCTAGAATACGTGTTTTTAAAATAAATCTTTTTGAGGTTTACAGTGGTTTTTTGAGGCACAG